AGGAGAGGCTGGAGAGGGCCGTCCAGGAGGACAAGCAGAAGAAGCTCCATCAAGAGCACAACCTGAAGGCAAAGGAGGAGGGCAAGAAGGAGCACCGGGAGCGAGAGGAGCAGCTCCTGCAAGAGAAGCTGTCCACCGCTGCGCAGAAGAGGCTGAAGAAGGAGGTGCAGCTGCAGAAGGAGAAGAAACTGCTCAACCAAGCAGAGAAGCTGAAGCACGAGGCCTTGCTCAAGGAACTGGCCAAGCAAGAGGCAGAAGAGAAGGAAATGCTGAAGGCCTCCCTGGAGATGAGTTTGACCAAGGCTCAGGAGAACTATGAGCAACTAGTGGAGAAGAGGAACCAGGAGCTGAGGGAGAAGGCCAGACGGGAGGACATGCAGATCCAGAGAGCCAAACTGGCAGCAGAGAAGAAGGAAAGAGAGCAGAAGGAGCACTTGGAAGCCCTGGCTAGGGAGACAGAGAGAAAGCTCCAGCATGCTGCCCAGGTGGCCGAAGAGGTCGTCCAAGAAAAAGCCCGCAAGGTGGTCTTGAGCCGTCTGGAGAAGGAGAAAGTGCAGAAGATGAACAAGCAAAAGGTGGAACAGTATGAGGACTTACGGCGCAGGGAGATCCTCCTCTCTATAGAGAGGAAGCTGGAGAGGAGCGAGCAGATCTTCAAAGAGAAGAAGACTGTCTTAGAAAATGCCAGGTCTGTCGCTCGGGCGTCCTTCCACGTCCGGGAAAAGGTACGGGAGGAGACGAACATGCGCACCTTTGACAAGATGGCCTTCGAAGCAGAACTGCATGCCCACCTGAATAAGAAATGAAAGATCTTATCAAGAACGAGTGGGGATACATCACAGGCTGTCCATCATAATGCATCAGAAAGCTCCTCCACATTAACATTTAACATTTTTAAAACAACAACAACCACCCTAATTTCTTGTTTTGGGGGAACAGGGTACCGCACAAAAACGTGGCAGCTATTTCACATACTTTTTAAAATATGTTTTTGTTCTGGGCCTGTTTTAAGGACTGACTTCAGTCATCTTTACGGCGGGGAAGCGAGCTTTTGTGTCCTCCACCCCACAAGCACATGCATTTTCTCAGAGAGGGCTGCAGAAGTCTGCTTGAAGCTTGTGAGTTACCTATTGATTGTCTACACCAGAGCTGACTACAGCTACTCTCTTTTCAGTTAGAAATGCAGACAACAGAGACTACTGACTACTAGAGCCTACTGGCTAAGAACCAAAACCACCCCGGCTGATGCTGGCTTGAATGACAGACAGCGTGGTTTAAGTTACGGCACTGCATTTTCAAAACTGCTGCACTCCCATGCTGACGGTGAGGAGGGCTGGAGTACAGAACACCGTACGCCCCTGGGTGCCCCTCGCTCGCTGCTGGTACCAAGCAAGAGAAAGCACAGATTAAGACTTTGTAACACCACATTAGTAGATGTTATGATCAGAGCTGGGCAGAAGCTGTTAGAAGCGCTCACAAACACGATTTTACTTTCGCTGTTTGCAACTGTTGCCCCTCCCGGGTGTCCTTACCTCTCCTTCTCTTTTCAAAGTTTCTCTTGCAAACGTCTGTACAATTTCTTCTTTTCTTTCGGAGAACGGGGGAGAAAGAGAGAAGTTTGTGGGCAGTCCACAAACTGATGGGCACCCACACAACCCACTTGTTTATTAAGATACAAAAATGAACAAACCTGTGGAATCTGGCCTTTGTGACAAACATGCAGATCATTTGTAAATGGAAACCTGCAAATAGATTGCACAGAGAAATTGCCGCTTTTGGGAATTCTCAAAAGTTGAGGATACCCTCAGCAACCTAATCCAACTTGGCTTGCCTTGAGGAGGATGTTGGACCAGGGGTCCTCCAGGGGTCCCTTCCAGCATAATGGTTCTATGAGCTGTACACAATGAGACGTTCACCCAGCTCTTATCATCATCTACTGGGCAGGGCAGCTTTTATCTGTCCACTGGTGCTAACAGTTGTATTCTTACATAGGGCACAAGGAAGAGTAGATGCACAAAATAAGGTACATTACAGATTCTCTTAGATGAGGATCACGGCTTTTTTATAACTCTTAATACCATCTAGAGGGAACCGAGTCCTTCTGCCATTGATGCACTGGAAATGTGAAAAGCCTACCTATGCCCCATGCACAGCGTTCAAATAAGACAGTGTTCTGCTCCAGGCTTCCACGTTTACTCTCTGCTGGGTTGCAGTTATGAGCACACATCCAAACCAGGCACTTCCTGCTGTGTCTTTCTGGCTCTGGGCAGTGCCAGCTCTCTGTTCCACCATCCATGACGCCGTGCTGTGTTGCTGTGGTGATGGTATCGAACCTGGAACATCGGGGAGAAGCAGCAAGAACAGCCAGGATCTTGTTTCCTTGCGAGTGTCTCTGGCAAACAACACAGTAGAAGATAAAACCAGAAGAAAGTTGACACGTGGCACAGACGTGCAGTCCTGCATGCATGGATTGCTTACCAGAATTTCTCAGGAGGTGACAGCAGGTCAAAAACCTCATAGAAGGCTCTGAGTAAGGTGTTAAATGAACAGCAGCAACAACAGTAGACCAAGCACACCTTGGTGCTCTGCAAGGCTGGAGACGTTACCCAAACAACGTTGAAAATGAAGCAAGTCAGGTTTGTTTTTTTTTTTATTATTTTGTTGGAACTTGCTCTTCTTTGAATCACGGTACGATTGGCGCTGTTGAGGGCGGGCGACGTGAAAGTAGGAATTAGGGCACCTGAGCTATGTTTGCTCTGCCAGTCATTGGCTCGCTGTGTAACGCCAGGCAAGTCCTCAGGGGCTGGGCTTGCTCCTGTCGATATAAACGGAAGCAGGGTCAGGCTCTTGGGACTGCTGGGACTCACAGGAAATAGCAACACTCGGCGAAACACTTCAGAGACTTCGGACAAATGATGCTAACAAAGCACAAAGTACTATTTTGTTTATTTATTTATTTATTTATTTATTTATTTGAGTGGTTATTAAAGTAAAACATATCCATTGGCAAACAGCACTACTTAATCCCAAAATCTAAAAATATCAGTACCTGTGGGAAAGACAGCTGTGTTACTGTTTTCAGCTAGGAGTCTGTCCCCTCATCCTCGTCCTCGAAACGGCAATCGGTTTGAACAGTGAAACCAATCCTGCTGTATAACTGGACAAGGTCCTTGATAAAAAATGGTCTTCTTCATGTGTTGTTTGTACAGCAGTGCTCCATGTGTGCCCTTGTAGCTGCAAAGACCTAGAAAAGAGATGCCCAGTGGCCCAAATACAGCCTGCACAAAACTTCCCTTGCTCCCTGGCAGCACTAGAGTTGGGAAAAAAACAAACTGTGGTGACTCCAGCATAGCCAACTTTTTGTCTTGTTTGTAGCCTTCAGGTCTGCAGAGAAAGCCTGCCAGTATGGACGTGAGGGCTCTTGCTCCCCACGTCATAGCACTGTGCTTAAAGTTCCCTGCTTGATCCATTTAGCAGAGGGTGAATGAGGAGAGCTGGGAAACAGTGGAAAAAGGCAAAAGGTGGTGGGTGAATGAGCAGACACAGTCTCTAACTGGAACAGCAGCTTTTTCCCTAAAGGTCTATTGCAGTCTACTTGAAGGCTTTGTCCAAACCTCCCTCTGATGGGGCATTTCCAGCATAGACCGAGAACGTTTCACAGGCCAGGAGACATGTCTTGGCCACTGACTGTAATTACACCTGGGGTCCATCTCCTGCTGCTGACTGTGTTTGACACCTTGGGGCTACAGCCGAACTAATCAAAACACACCTACATGGTGGTAATTGGATTGGCAAACTACTGTTCCTATGCTGTGCAGTGTGCAGCTCAAGTTTTGAATGTGTAATCTAAGAAAAAAAAAATTTTTTTTTTCAAAAGACATTCATCTGTGTATGGATATTTTTTATTTCTGTAGTCGTTCCAGTCCAAAGTCTGTGAAAGTCAATGGAGTTTATAAGTGGTTTAAAATTGCAGCATGGAAAATTAAGTCAGCAAGTTGGGTGGAGGCACGAGAGGTATTTCTAGGGTCTGCTTATGCTTCTGTTTATTTGAGAAGGAGTTTTACTGCTGGATTTCTGTGGGAACAGAAATTAAACCCTGGGACACAAGTAAAAAGTACGGGCCTTTTAGATGAGGCTTATTTGATGTTTTTGATATTGAGCTGCAGGCCAGGGAGAACTGAAAATCAAAGCAAGCAACATGTTACCTCACAGCTCAGAAGTAGATCACGGCTTATTTAGAGCAGAGGAGCAGCTGATGACATTTGGTTCGGTCCTGCAGAAAGATAACTTAGGTTGGTCCTCTCCTGGGATTAGAAAACACATTTTAGGCTATTGCTGTATTATAATCATAAGGTTACATAATAAAGACTTTGCTTCTAGGCCATTTGCATGCATGCCGCAGAATGACCACTAGACCTTGAAATACCTGCACTTTAAAAGCAACAGCAACAAAAGGCCAATTACCTGGAAACTTCTGTGACTGATAACACATCTTAGATCCACCTAGGGTCAAATTCCCAGGTTTCAATTCCTAAACACTTGGAGTCTAGCTCCAGGTTCCACATTGTATCCCATAGATCTGACAGGACAACCCAAAATCTGGATCCAATGCCACTAAACGTTCAAATCTAAAGCCAAATGGTGACACCTCTAATCCCAGTTGAAAACCACTGTGCTGCTTAGTACTGCCCATTGACTAGGACCACTGCTAGAAGTTGACCTGCTAGAAACTACTCTGAAGATTTACAGGGTTTCTGAAGTTGAGATATTGAAACATTAGGGAGAAAGACTCCCATATCATTTAAATATTCTAACAAGAATTACAGGCCCAAGTCCTGGGATTGGTTTTAGGGTAAAACTCCCATCATTATATACTGATGTTTTGCATAGTGAGACAATATAATCAAGCACACGGTATCAGAAGAGTCTGTCACACTGTTGGCTATGGTAGAATAAGACAAGTAATTTCAGTGGCCCCAGAACTGCGCAGCCTGGTTTCCCTGGGCAGGTGCCCTGCGATTCTCACTTCAGCGAAATCAAGGCTGCAGGATGAGTTCAGCTGGTATTAGACATCAGAGAGTTCACACATGAGGGAGAAGCACTGACTAAAGAGCAGTTCCTTTTGCCTGAGCGCTGGATGAATCTTTCACCCATTTTGAGTGTTTTGACTATCTTGTTTATGTGGATTGTCTAATTTTTAACAGCATCTGGGCTAAAGCTGGAGCCCTTCAGTGCCAGTGAGAGCGCCAACAGTCTCTTCTGCATGCTGCCTCTTCACACACACTTCATCACTAAAACACCAACTCTCTGTCAAGGTTGAATTTGGCAGACAGGTTTAAAAGCTATTAGGAGGAGCAGCTGCACCGGCACTAGTTAATATTTTACAAGGTATTTTTTAACCCAGTTTGTCGTAAATCCTTTCACCACATGGATAAGAGAGATGTGAGGATTAGATTTCTCACCTTAGTTACCTACTGTGTTTCTCCTAACGATGCTTATGGTGCTCTATGCTCATTCTGTGCTAAAATTTCTCCTGACGCCAGGGGAATTCTGTTCACCAGACCAATGCTGAATACGCAGTGCACACACGTCTGAGAGGGGGTTTATTTTGGTGTGCATGTCTTTAAGCCAAGCCTGGACAGGGAGACGTGGGAAACACAGAATTTACAATACAAAATCCATCAACCACTAGTTTTCCAAAAGTTCTGCTAAGAAGAGCCCCAGAGCCACCTCTGCTAGCTGTCATCAATGAAGTGGCATTTTCTGCTTCCTTACTGACTTCAGAGAGAGCCAGGCTGATCGCATC